AACTCGTTGGATCACTTTTATGGAAAATATTTAATTTATAAATTAATCTGTAAAGAATGAAATTAATTCTTTAAAAAAATTCTAAGTAAATTAACATTATAGATATGCATATTGGTAATTCACATACGTGTTATGCTGTGTAAAACAGTGATAATTGATTAACAATGCCTTATATGTACTTAGTAATCTTGACAAACATTATTTCAAGGTGCATAATGGTTAATGTAGACTAAATTATTATTCTACATTTTATATTCATTTATGTAGTTAATAAGTGGTAAAATATAATCAATCGTTATTTTTATAACATTATGAAGTATTTATGTTAATTAATATTAAAAATAATATTATTTTTTTTGTATAAAATAATCATGCTATTATTATTACTTTATGTATTAAAAGTGGCTATAGTATTGTTTTACTATAATACCACATAGTTTAAGTTTGTGCACATAGCGATGTCTACCTAACACATAGAAAAACTACATAAATATTTTTAATATTTTTAAATTATTACATTTTTTAATCGTAATATGTGTTATAATAGTGCTTCATAAATCAGGGATCACATTTTAAAGGTTTTAAAATTTAATATTTTATTACAGTGTTATTAGTATAATAATATACCTTACTATTATTTGTTAGATGTTATTTATGGAGTTTCAAGTTAATAAAATTATAATATTCCACAATATGATTTATAAACATAAAGGAAATTATTTTATTCAAATATTTTTTAATTTGGATTTGTATTAATAACAGAAAATTATTTATTTTAGTTTACCTAGTACAAACAAAATAAGTCTGGTATACAAATATATTTTGTTGAGTATATTAACATTAAAGTGAAAAGTAGTGTGACTCTATGGCTCAATCAGTTTCGCATTAGCGCTGATGTTCAATTGTGCTGTTAGCTGTTAATTCCCAGATGGGTGACCTACGGAAATATTTTCAGTAACACACATCTTGTCTCTATACTGGCTCCCTTAGCCATACTGTAGTTGTATTTGACCAACAGCTAATGTAAGATCTGTCAAATCGTAAGATTAAAGCCAACTCCAAATAATTGGGGCAGAAGTTAAGAAGGCGATGATGATATTAATTGAAGTAATTTTATGTAAATGTTACCATAAATAGTTTTTTTTAAGAGGTCAAGCCTTTTTAACTTAACAAAAAGAAAAGATTTCATTAATAACTGGTTTCTAGTAAATCTGATAAAAAACTGGTGGTCAAATGACATTGTAAAGATGTAAAACCTAGACCCAGTTATTTGAGAGAATGCAAGGAAAAAATCGTCAGTACAACGAATGTCACACGGACATCACTATAATATAATAATATAAGATTATATCATTACTCTCCGTGTGATTTTACAAGCGAAACTTAGCAATGTTCCTATCAATTCATTAAAATAGCACCGTAGTTTACCGTTATTTTATGTCAACAATGCTGAAGAATGGCAAAAAATTACTATTGAAATTTATTAAAAATAAAAAAGTAGTAACAATCTACAAACAGTCACGGATGAGTTGTTGTATATAACACTAACGGCACTATTATTTGAGAGAAAATAAAATAAGAACTTATCCCTCGTGGTGAGTAATATTATTTAAAAACCATGATCATTAATTTAAAATAGAAGTGTACGTATTTAAGACAGATAAATGAGTTTGTGTATAAAAAATGAAAAGAAAACCTCAAATTTTAATAATGTATAGGTTTCAAAAAAAAAAAAAATTATTTGTAATAAAATATTTTTGTACAATATTATAAATAAAAGTCGTTTGCATATATATTCATGGGAGACTAAATATTATTTTAAACATTTGATTTCAGTGTCTTCTTTAGTGTTGAAGAGGGGTGACTGGAGACCTCGGGCACGAAACCACGCTATTTTAGAGATCTCATTATAGGTGTAATAAAATAGAGATTAACCCCCTTAGTTGAGAAATTAGCTACCTACAAAATTAAAAAAAATGATACATTTTGTCATATGCATGTATAGTTTTATTAGAGTAGGGTGAAAATACAATTTGAATCTTCAAAAATATTATTTTAATAGGTGCCTATTGTCCTCGCAGAATAAAATTATAAGTAAAAGTATTTATGGTGGTTTTAGCATTTTTTTTTATAATATCAAGTGTTTGTTTATTTTTCATAAAAAAAATATATTATTATGCAAAATTTAATAAAACAATAATTATGAAAATTGACTAAGACTTTAAAGTCAAGGGGGGGGGCCATTTCCCTTATACCCATGCAGACGCCGATATTATGAGTAATGTAATTTGTTTATTTTAAGTACAGTATAATTCACTTATTGGTTAATTATTTTCTGCTTTTTTTATTCGTATGTTTCGAATTGCAAGACAAACTTAATTAATAACTTTAGATGAAGAAATCTATTCGAAGTTTCTTTAGTTAAGAATAATATTAGTATCACTTGAAGTTTTTATGGTCAAATTCATCTAAACTTTTTAAATAGATTTATTTTTATTTGGCTATTAAGTAAAATTGAATTTTTAATTTATTAGTATTTTTATATTAATACTATAATAATTAAATGAATATTTAAAAAAATAAAATTATAGTGATGTCAGATATGTCAGCAAATTTGTTACTTTTATATTAGTTATTGATTATATATTACGTAAAATTTCTACGTAATTTATTATCATAACTTGGTAATTAATACAAAATATGGTTGATTGATTCAAACATTTACTAATCCTACTGAATTTGATCAATAATAATGAATTGTTGTTTTTTTTTAGTTTAAAAAAAATCATAAATATGTGATAATTGTTTATTAATCAATGCGTTATATGAGGTTATTATTATTTTATCATACGCAATATCGTATTATAATAAACACAGTGTATATTACTTTAAAGATACTCAATTATATCTAAAACAAAATTTTAAAGTTGCTTTGAGTTTTGTGAAAAATGATTTTTTATTGATTGAAAAATAAACACGTAAGTAGTAAAGGCCATTAGCTACATGTTTTTTTACTCTACATGACAAATACAGGTATGATATATTATATTTACAATAATGTTGAAAATTATTAGGATATAAATTTTTGTAGTTAAATGCATCTTTTGAATTTCAAATATATTTAAATTTTATAAGGATATAATTCTACCATTATAAAAATTGTTCATACTTATTGAACATTTTACATAAAATACGGAAAATAAGGTTTTCAAGTATTTAATTGTTGAAATTTAATGTATCACTTTTAATATATTTTATTTTGAGTAACAGCGTATGAAAACTTTTTCAACTGTACTTAAATTACGAAAATAAATATGGGGAATCATCTATCGACAGTAAACCTCTTTAATAAGGTATTTAAGGATTCGTATAAAAGCGTTTCCGTGTAAATTCGAAAGACTGATTTTTTGTATATCAATCAAGACTGACTTATAACATGTCAACGACAAGTCCCCAGGGACTCTTTCATTTTTAATATTGAGTTTTGAATGCTGAAATACTATTGACTGAATAGATAATCCAACCATTATAGCTTTCTGATCTGAAGATTTAACAGAGATCATGAGAAAACCTACCAATGCATTGTTCGATTCAAGTTGAACTTTTACAATAGTTCACTGAACTATGTATGCATGTGTAAATAAATTGTTTAAATAATAAAAGTGATATTTTAAATAAATGTTTTTTTTCATTTGAAAAACCAATAAAAAAACAAGAAACATAATAACATCTTAATGACTATAAACTGTGTTTTAATTACAAATTTTCAAGGTTAACTAATTTTTTTTTCTATTATTTTATAAATTTCTAGTAGGTAGATACAATAAAAGTAATAAGTATTTAATAAAGCGTAAAAATGATTTAAGTTTTGAAAAATTAAAAAAAAATTTATCGCTTATAAGTTACAATGCCTCTGTGATTCTAACTGGTTATAAAAGCAGTAATAGTATTTTTTATTCTTAAAGATATTATAAGTGATGGATTTTTAAACGTAGGCGTTCTCAATATCATAATCACGACTGAATAGGATCTAATTTTTCTTCAATGTGATTTTCTTCGTTTTTCACGTCTACGAATAACGAACAAATTACAAAAACTATCGTTGCCCATTGATTTCCCATTATTATGCACTAAGCATTCGACCGTAAAAGTTCTACTATGGAACTTTGATTTACTATCCACTCGTGTATCGTATGTGACGTGAACTCGAAAACACTTACCTGTTACGTGTAATGATTGACTTGAGCGAAGTATCCTTTTGATTTATTGCACAAAAATATATTTTAATTATACCGTTATGAGTGTTTTTATGAGAATAAACTGAAACTAATCTACAGTTTTTATGAACGTTGGAAAACAAGAGTATATTTCATGTAAATGTAAACATTACTTAGATACTTGGATTTTTTTTACCCAACAGGATAACATTAAGAAAATTTTGAAAAGTTGAAAAGTGAGCTTTTATGTTTGGATAATTTTATACTTAAAAGATTTCAAGTAGTAAACGAGGGGTGGCAAAGGTTTTGATCCCAGCTCAGAAAATTAGTATAAATAAATTGAACTCTAAATTACATCGAAACTTAATATGTCCAGTTAGCTTGAATGTATATTTATACATTTTTTTTGTTCAGTTATTCAATATTTGATAGATCACATGTATCTCGTTGAATTATACCGCTTAAGTCTTTAAATACTTGGCAATCATATCAAAGGTTTTACATAGAGATGAAATATGAGAGAATTCATAAATTCTCTCATATTTTTTTAATATATTTATTTTTCAAAAACGCTTCCGCTTATTATTATATAAACATTATAGTAATTTATATTATATTGTGATACAATATATTTATGATCTAAGGACAAGAGCAATGTTTTATTCAGGTACATGAACGGCAGTAGCAATTTATCATTATTCCCTGACCCTGAATGTATGTCACGACTGACGAGAATGAAATTTTTGCGATTTCAAATACTATGAGCGAAAAACAAAAACTTACCTTAACGTGAAAAACTCTTAAGGAGAACGTTATCCAGTGTTGTATGGTAGTCGGCAGTCGCATATTTTATAAATATTCGGGTGATTGTTAATAACACACAAATACACAACACAATAATCACAAATTCACGCGAACTAGACGATATTAACGACAATTAAAAATACTTAATGAGTTTTACGTTTATAAAACAATCGATATGTGAAAACTAGAGGTGGTTACGGTATTTTGAATAAGTCTAACGAGTGCGTATGTTTCAAAGGATCACGTACGCCCACAAAAAACAGTCAGGATCGGGACAATAGAAAGTTTTTTTTAATAAATAATTTTTCCGGGGCTCGCAAGAGTTATCGATAATATAATGAGTAGATTCGGTGTGCGGCAAACGACTGAGGACAAGTGCTGTCTGTGCGCGTTGACCGAGTGTGTACGGCGTACCCACGCGGTCGACCGAGGAGTCCTTGGCGCACCGTTAGATGCGCCGCACGCGCTTTGACGTGTACCAAACAAACAAGTGGTGGTATAATAAAACCATACCGTTTTTGGAGGGTGGCCTTTAGCCCTATGCAGACGCGCCTCGCCAACGGAGCAGGTCAGCTTTTGCTTAAAACTTTTAGAGAACCGCCGATATTTTAATTTCAATACATCATTGAAGATCTCGTAGCTCTCTCTCTCTCTTTAACAGTACGCCGGTCCGGGTGTTGACAGCGCAGTATTATGTAGACATTTTAGGCAGTTCAATTAGAATTTAAAGTCCCGTGGAAACAATTTTTTATTTATTTACGAAAACGAGCTGTACAGTGACACGAGCATAACTTCCAAAAAATTCAGTTGAATTTATGCTTTAACTTATTAGAAAGCGTAGGTGTAATAATACATGACACTTGTACCTAGTAGCGTTGTATCCAGGAACGTGAAATATTAAAATTTATAAACTGTTTGTTGTGAAATTGTTTAAAAATTAAATATTTTACTCTGTATATTTGATTGTATTCATTTTACGGAATAAACCTTTAATAGAAAATGTACAATTTAAAAAAATTAAAAATTAGATAGAAAATATAAGGACAATTTTTAAGTAAGAATGGTTAAAAGTTCATGAAAATTTAACAGTGGCATTAGATACCAAATTACATAAAGTTTTAATTATTTAAGTAATTAATGGCACATACACGTGTATTGGAATACTTAGGGCACATTAAAAAATCAATTCATACTTTTAGTTTCAATTATATATATTTATATGTCAGGTACTGGCATTTTTGTATTCTAAATAGTAAATCAAAGCTCAAACCGACAGAAAATTTGTTAAACTAATTTGGCAATTCAACATTTCGAAAATGGCTGTTAGATAGAATAGTATTTATGAAATTATGAGAGTTTGACAGATTTGAATTTGTACAAATAAAGATCATTATTTTTATACGCGTACAATAGTTTCAGCTCTAGATGATATTTCTCTACTGAACAGTACATTGCATTATATTTTCTGACTAGTACCTGAACAATTGTATTACTCGAGTAATTTATCAGTACAATAAAATATTCATTGGTTTATATGTATGACATTGTTGATATAAGTAAGAACAGAGCTTATTAATTAAAAGTTCATTTGTATGAATATATGTATATGTGTTAATGATTAAATTATTTTGATGTGAATGCGATGTAGTTATCTTTACACCGACTTAATTGAAAATTTAGTAAATGATGTATTAGAGTGTATCTTTGTGAAGTATACAAGTACAAGTACTTGGGTAGCATAAATGCGTTATTGTTCAAATGATACCCTTTAAGTTTCAATATTGACAAAAGATAATTAATCAAGTGATAAGTAATATAGAAAATACATTTGCTTATAAGTTCAAGACGACAATAAACGTCAGATTTTCTTAAAGAATAAAGAATGAATTGGTGAATTAATCCCATTAAAGGTTTTTATAATAATGTTTTATTTAATCCATGACCTCTATTGAAAATGTACATTAAGGAATCAAGATACATCATTTATTTGAGTAAACAACATGCTGTCAGCTTTTAAAGAAATATCTAAGAATTTTTTTAGACTTTAAAAAATTAAATTTTACTTTTTTCTGATTTATACCTCAAAAGTAAGTGGTTATAATTTTTTTTTTTTTTTTAACAAAATTACTTTATAAATTTATGAAGCTTTGCAGGAAAACTCGTCCTGAATTTCAAAGTTGTTTTATTATGTATTTTAAAAAGAGGTTGTTACGCACGTGTGCCTGTAACAATTAACTGTTGACTTCGTTCGGTTGAGCTGTTTTTGATATTAACGAAAATCGAAATTAAGTAATGCTTGGTAATGTTGATATTATTTTAATCAATAAATTTGTATTGAAATAATGAACTGACTATTGTTAAAAACGGTATGTTTATTACTTAAAATATAATAAAATTAATCAAAATGCATTAATTTTATTAATTTAATATTAAAAATATTCACAATTGATGTAAAAATGAAATCAAACTGTTTTAGGTAATCTATTAGAAGTTTCTATGTTATCATAAAGAAATATATCTTGTAATTCATAATTAAAAAGAAACGAAAAATGTTTTTGTTCTTTGAGTATCGCGTGATGTTTCTTTGGGATCAATAAAGTCTAAATAATTCAGTTAAATGTACAATCGTATTGCGCATTATTATTTGCATTGTTTTTGTTTATTAAATGGAAAAAAATATTTTGGTTATTTAAGATAAGAATGTAATATTGAATGAAACCATAAGTATACTTTAAAAAAAGCTTTAGTATTTTTCAGCTAAACACGAGAGAATGTTTCGTTAACTATTCCAAAATTATGAATCAATACATTTTTGAAAGAAAAATGTCATTGAAATTTTTATCGTTATTTTAGAAAACCTGAAAAAAATAGGATTTTAAAATGATAAATTATGGAAATGTCAGGAAATCGGATGCATAAATTATCTGTACCTACGACTCTTAAGTGAGGTATGGAATTTTTATTTAAAAGTGACTGAAAAATCAATAAATTATAAAATTTTAAATCTTGTGGCAACCATGTTTTATAGAAGTATTTTCAAATAGCATTCATGAGAAAACTTTTGATAATTGCATTGAAAAAGGTGAATAAAATATTTATTAATGAGTCAGTAATCGATAATTCTAAACAAATTTTTATTAAAGCAGAGAATTAGTATAACAGATATGAGAATGCTTAGATGGAGTGTTGAGGAAGATATGATAAGAAATGTATGTGTAAGAGGAAGCATAGGAGTATGGTAGATTGATGTTTAGCTATAAAAGAGAAATCGGAAGCTGTAAAAATGGTTAGGACGTGTTCTATTTTCCTTACTTACTGAACACTCTTTATAGGGTATCTACTCATCATAAACCATTCGATTACTCTTAAAATAAATACAATATTGTAAAAATAAATTCGTTTTATTTTTAGTTACATATACAGGTTGGAACAGATCTAACTGACAACTCGTATAACTTATGATCTACATAACATTTCATACTTTTAATCAATTTTTACAATATAGTACTATATTTAAAATATGTTTTATGTTATTTTTCGCAATTACAAAATATATTTTAAAAATTAATTTTTTTATTAAAATTTTTTTTTTTAGATTTGAAGATAGCCATTTTATGGATAAGTTTTAAAGAAAAATGTTGATACCAAAACCATTACTTTAATTCAGTATTTACGTTTATACAGCATTTTGAAGTTAGTTAAATTTTTATTTTTTTTTTACAATTCTCCTATGGTATCAAATATTAGTCCATATTATGTTAAGCACGAAGCAAACATTTATTACGTTATTTACTAGTAACAGTACGCGATTTCTTTTCCATGAAAATGATTAATACTTGAATAAGCATTTTGTAATTGAAATGAACAAACAAGTAGTAGTATAATGAAGATTAATAAAAAAAAATTATAGAAACATCATCTAAAACATGTTGAGTTTTTAATTAAATAAGTTCATATATCATAAATTTAACCGTGAATAATAGCGAATGAGTGCATTTATTATCAAATCTCCTAACAAGGACTATCCTTTAATAATATTATTACAATGATAGAATAACGCAAATTAATAATTGTTATCATTTTTAACTTGGCTTACCATAGAACACTCGTAGTTGACATACGATAATTTTTCTAACTTTTGTAATAAAGATTAGAGATAATCATTTCTGTATAAAGCGCGTTAAACTTTATAATTATCCATGGAAAAGAAATCGCATACTGTTACCAGTAAATAACGTTATAAGACAGTGTTTACTTCCGTCCTTTACTTAATATGGACAAACATTTGATACCATAGGAAAATTGTAAAAAAAAAAATAAAAATTTAACAAACTTCAAAATACTGTTTAAACATAACTACTGGATTAAAATATGAGTTTTTGGTGTCAAAATTTTTCTTTAAAACTTATCTATAAAATGGCCATCTACAAATCTTAAAAAAAATTAATTTTTTAAATATTTTTTGTAATTGCGAAAAATAACATAAAACACATTTTTAAATATTTTAACATATTTTATAGTTCTATATTGTAAAAATTGATTAAAAGTATAAAATGTTATGTAGATCATAAGTTATATGAGTTGTCTGTTAGAATCTGTTCCAACCTATATATCTATCAGCTAATAATTACTTCTTAATTTTATCCCTAATAACCAAAGGCGTAAAGCATTTGAGTAAATGTATTTGAATAAAAGTATTCAAATACTTTCATTGGTATTGAATAGTATTTTTAAATACATTTAATAAAAAGTATCTGAGTAGTATTTTAAATACAATTATTTAGTATTTAATACTGTTTAATATTCAGTACTATTAATATATTTTTTTTTTCTAATTTGCTAACCGTAACACAGCAAGCAAATTAAACTCAGTCAAAATGAAAATTGAGAATAATTCTCTGTTATTTTATATGTTACATTATAGTATAACATAATTATTGTGCTTATCTAAATGCTATTATGTATACATCTATTTTTAATACATCAGTTGAACCTACAATAGCCTATTGCAGGTTCAAATGATTTACTCTATTGTCAATAAGACATACTTTACAGGTTTTTACACGTGTACTAATATTTATTTTTTTCACTGATTAGTCTCCAATAATTAATTTTATTTACCTCTAACAAAAAATATCGAAAATAATAAATGAGTTCTCTTAATTTAAGAGTACTCAATATTTGACTCAAATTACCCTCTTGGTAATTATTTAGGTGGAACCTTTTGCTCTTAGTTAAAATAAAAACATTATTATTATTTTTTAATTGTATTCTTAGTATTTGAAATACTTTTGTAAAGTAATTGAGTATTACTCAAATACTTTTGTATGAAAAGTATTCAAATAGTATTTTAAATACATTTTTTTTTAAATATTTGAGTATTATTTAAAATACTTTTTAAAAGTATTTTTTACAACTATGCTTATAACTTATACATGTGTCAACTTTTTTTTCCAAATTACATGGTAGATAATTAATTGGTTTATTTAATAGCTAATAATATAATTAAGAAAATGACTGGTCTATAACAACTTTCAATCTTGTATGTTAGAAATAATTAACAATATAAAGTTATGAGGGGAGGAATGGGTGCAATTATTCTTATCAGTAGTTTAGTCTCGGTCGTACTCTTCCTTCAACCTAGGTATAAAATGAGAATAACTTCCAATGTATTGGTCTAAAAGTTGTTATCGACCAGTCATTTTTTCAATTATATCATTATCAATTAAATAAGCCAATAAATTATGTACGTTTTTGAATAGTTAAGTGTACACTTCTATAAGGGGTGATTTTAGGAAGTAATTATTAGTTGATNACACTTCTATAAGGTGTGATTTTAGGAAGATCAAAAATTTTTTTTTCAGTATTGTATTTATTTTGAGAGTAATCGAATGGTTTAGGATAAACTGTTATTATCAAATTAGTTATTTAAAATAACAGAATTATGTATGAAAACATTAAATATGGTTTAAGAAAATTTTAGTTTAATAACCATGACGAGACAAGTTAACAATAAGATTGTATGTAGGCTATTAAAAGTAATTGTCCGCATAGTACTGAGAATTTGAATAAATAGATTTTGGTTAAAAAGAAAGATGAATTGACAAAATAATCAAAGAAAAAGTAGTTATAAATGAAAAAAAATTTTGATTAATCTTAAATAATAGAATGTTTAAATAAAAGCAACAAAGAAAAAGATGAATGACTGACTATCTTATCTAATTTAATCAATTTTTGTACAGTAAATACTTATATCTTCGTTATCTTTTATGTATTTTTCCCATATACAATGAGTTACCATAAATAATATAAAAAAGTAAACTAATTAAATTTTTAATAAAAAGCATATCTATTAAGTTTTCAAGTCTCGAATTGGAAAACATTTTCGAGACAGTTAAAAAAAAATGTTATATCTTTACTCCGTTTATTGAGTTTTGAAGTAAAATGCTGATGTATCAATATTATTTTTCAAATATCCTCTCAATATGTTTAAATAGAATCAATAACGCATACACTAGTTTTGTGTTTAGTTTTTTGAAAAACTATATTTATGTAGTCAAGATCATGATGATTTTTTTGGTTATTTAACAAAATATTTACTGTCACTTTTTATCCTGAAACATGTTTGATTTGAAATATATATTGTGGCTAAAGTCAAAATGGTGTAAATCAATTTTTTGATCAAATGAGTTTGTCTAGAAAATTATGATTTTATATTGAACATTTTTTGGACATGTACAAATTTATAAAATTATGTTATGTTGTATATTACATATTCAAATTCTATATCTTTATTAGTCTGCAGAAAATGATAGAATAAAGTATAATTTTCCTTAAAAGTGATTAAAATTTCATTACACTAAATTAAATGTAACTCCCACGTAGAAATAAAATCAGGTTAGAAATTTCATCGTCGAAAAACGTAGCCTATAATGGGTTACATTATCTTAATGAAAATTGTATCTTAGACCATAAAATTAATCATCAATGTGCTAATCAAACTCATGTGGGTTCACACTTGAGAGAAGAACAAGGGAGACATGTCTCATCTGGAAATTATATGATCCTCCAAATAGTGGCTCTTATAAAATTGTTTGTACGTATCAGTGTTAACTACAATAAAACTTATATATATATACATTACATTTTAAATTTTAGAATATATGTTATTGATTATTTTACATTGCAGTGATTTTTTATTTGAATGCTAGAGTATATTAAAAAAAAAAATGTTTAATGACTAAAAAAAAAGGTTTGGTCTCCCTTGGATTTTATCAGATATAACACCCACGTTTAAATTATATATTTAACTATATGAATTTATAAAAAAAATTATTCTATAATTTTTTTTTTTTTGTTAAGCTGAAATAAATTTTGTATTATTAACTAATATGAAAATACTTTATAATGAAAATGGTTGGTTTATAACATCTTTGAGTTATCATTTTGTCTCCAAATTTTTAAATGATGAAAAATTTTTTTTTATAAAAATTAGAATATTATATAAGTTTTAACTAGTAATATTCTTGTTTATTATCTATAAAAGTGTTTGTAGTTTTTTACATAAATGTCTCAATTATAAATCAAATATTTACTAATTCTCATAGAAATTTCGTTTATTATATTATAATTTATGAGTTAATTAAAGTTTTAGTATTTTATTGAAAATATAAAAATTGGCACAATATTTTTATTGAAAAATTATGAAATGTTATTTAATATTTTTCCTATACACTTTCTTGATACGGGTAGGTTCGAAAGTTAAAATTTGTATGACTCAATATTTTTTTAGCAAACTAATGAAATTCGTATCATAGTAAGAACGTATTATATATATACAATATATCATATTCTTCTTCTTAATTTTCCACCATAACTCAATCAATATATTATATTGATTAAGGTTAAGAAAAATAAACACAAATATCTATTTATCATTGATGTACACGAAATGAATAAAATCAATTTTATAAGTTTATGAAGTCCCAAACTCTATTAACCATTAACTAATAGCGTGCGATATCTCATACCGCTTTGATTATTATTATATTAATCTCGTTTTTAATAATTGAAACAAATGATCGAATCCGGTTTTTTCAAAATATTATGCGTAAATGATAATACATTTGCAGATAATATTTTTAGTCTGCTTAAAAGGACTTTTATGACGGTGAAAATGTATGCATTGATATTAATCATTTGATTTAACAGTGAGAAAGTCAAAAATATTTCCTATCGTTTGGACTCGGATGCTAACATGTTCTTAGATATGTCCTTTCACTTTTTTTTATAGAATGTTTGATATAGCTAGCCTTAACGAATTTGTACTGAACAATTCGTATAAAAATAGTATTGAGATAAATATATCTGAATTTTTAAAAAAATTAGCTTTTGCTTTAGTCAAACCACAAATAAAAAGACGATATAAAAATAAACAAATACCTCGTGTTCTTCGTTTAAAGATTGGAGAGATTTAAAAAAAATAGATTTGTCAGAAACCGATGTATTCGAAAACGGCTATAAGTAAAAAACATTAAAAAATTGTCCACCAAAAATAAAAAGGATAAGATTTTATTTGTCATTTATGTGGAGATCCGATTTGCTTGCAGTGTTCTGAAAAAGTGTGGAAGTCATGTCTCAGTGAAGACTAAAGATATATTTTAAGATTTTTTTTATTTTATTTTTTAAATAAAAATTTTTAATAATACAAAAATCATATTTTATTATATAAACAAAAATGGGGTATTTTAGTCATTTTTTATTTATTTTATTTTATTTCAGCTTTTTTTTATAAATAAATATATATTGAAACAGATACATGTTCATAGTTGAGTTTTGTGTATCGAGAACACCACGGGACAGTGTCAATTTTTTAATTAAAAAAGTACATAAAATAATTATTTTATTTCAAATTTCAGACAATTTAAAATTTTAGTTAATTTCTTTATAAATGCAATTTTTTTTTTCCTAATTCTGATTTATAATCTTTAAAAAGACTGAAACTTCATGAATAAATTATATAAATTATATATTTTCCCAATTATATAAGATACACATATATTAAATTTCGAGTATAGCTATAAGTAGTTTTTTTAGCCTCGATGCAAAGCTGAGAAGGTATTAGTTTCACTATGATGTGTTTTTTTTGTGTCTGTTGCTATTTTTTCTCAGCTTTCACTGAACCGATTTTTGATGAACAATGTGTCAAAAGATCACAAATCATATCTAGTTAAAGACATTACCCTTAAAAATTGAAAATTTTCCCTCATTTCACGTAAATGTGCAAATGTTTACCAAATTTCACAAAAGATTAATATTTGCGAAAAAAATCATCTTCTATTGTGATGTTTTTTGTACTTAAAAATGCCATAACTATTTGAAAAATGAACAAATTAAAATAATTTATTTTTATATTGAAACTTTAGATATTTTTCTTTCATTTGATATAAAATTTGTTTGAAAATCTGATTCTAAACCTGCCCACAAGGGGGATTCAATAAAGCAAATAAAACATTTAAAATAGCAACTTTTTTTGATTTAGGCCACCGATTTCTTAAAATTATTTACTACCTTAAGATTTGTATCAAAGCGATAGTGATGTTAAATATCTGTTAAATATTATAGACGATACTAACGCATATTTACTCAACATTAGTATTTAGTTTTTAATATTTACAAATCCAAAAATATGCTTACAAGTAAAATACTTAAATATTTTAAATAGTTACATAAATTTGTATACATTTTAAAGTATTAATTAATATAAATCACTTGATTTCTCTAACAATAATAACTATTATAAAACTTGATTTGACAATTTTAAGCTTCATATATTTCTCGATTTAATTATTTTTGAGCATTTTTTAAATTCATTTTTCATTTTAAGTCATTTTTTTTTTAAAACAACTATTGACTTATCACACAAAAGACTAAAATACATATTGAAGTGTAAAAATAGTTTTAAATGTAAATAATTGATAATTCAATCTTATGTGTTATTCTAATTTTTCATTTAATGATAATTTTGAAAACAAATTATAAGTTTCTTTTACAAAAAAATCAAAGTATGTACTCATAAATTCTGCAAAGCTTTCCTTACATTGAGTATTAGCTCTAATTACATTGTAATGTTTGTAATACGATTGTTCCAGAGTAAGTTTGTTTGAATAAACACATATATTCCTCGAAATATTTGATATTTCCGAAAATGATTTTTTTAATATTTTATTAAAATTAATTGCAAATTTATCACCTTCTGGTAATGGCATATTAATTATAGATGATAATTTCGAAAAAAATTGGTCTGTAGCACTTATTTCATTATTACCTTCAGGCAACAAACTTTTAAAAAAACATGCAGAATTATAAAGTTCACGTACTAATTCTTTATATTCCACGATTTTCTTAAGAAGCAAATTTTTTATTTCTATTCTTTTGTCTTGCGTTATTTTTTTATCTTGATAGATTATCTTATAATCATTTGTCATGTAAGACAAAAGTCGATTAGTTAACTTAATTTGTTCCCAACACTTACACTTTATGAATTCAAAAATCAAGTTTACCTTATTTTCATAATTAGTCGAATTAACATGCAAATATTTTGACGAATGCAGTTCTTCGTTAGGAATTTCNGTCATGTAAGACAGAAGTCGATTAGTTAACTTAATTTGTTCCCAACACTTACACTTTATGAATTCAAAAATCAAGTTTACCTTTTTTTCATAATTAGTCGAATTAACATGCAAATATTTTGACGAATGCAATTCTTCGTTAGGAATTTTNGAATTAACATGCAAATATTTTGACGAATGCAGTTCTTCGTTAGGAATTTTAACAAATTGTGTAATATTCTTATTCACATATTTTATATATTCGATATTATCAAAAATATTATTAACTGTGAAAATTTGCATGTTATTGCCTATTCCATGTTTAACTTTTATACTCTTGAGATTTTCCCATGCATCTACATTCTCAAGTTTTTCATTAAGATTTTTAATTTTTTCTTGCTCACTTAATATCAATAATAATACATTTGATGGTAGTAATTGAATTAAAATAACGATTAATGCAAAATTAAAAAAATTCATATTTTACATAAGAAATTGTAAATAAATTTATTAAATTCTGCTAAATTAAAGTCAATAGGCACTAACACACAAACTTTTACTGAGATTCACGTATAGTTTAATATCATTATTTAATTTAAGTGGGAATATAAATGATTTATAAAAATAATATCAGGCCAACTGTTTACTTTTTTATTTATCTTTCAATTAATTTACTTACATTTTAAAAATAATTATTTTAATATACGTTATTTATAATAGAACTCATTCTACTACAAATATACTGTAAATAAACTACTGTAAATATATCACAAACATACAATTGTGTAGTTGGTTAATAAAAAATTCAAATGGTTTTTTTTTCAGGAAATTTATATACTCGATATTTAAAAAAGATAATTGCAAAAATTGCAATAAAAAATACTAAAAATAATTACAAATAATAAAGATTACTATTCAGCTTGTTAGAATTAATAAACTTTTAACTAAATTAATTAATAAATATAAAACTAATTTTTTATATTATTTTAATTTATGAAAACTTATTTTAGCTTAGATGCGAAGCTAAGTAGGTATTGGATTTATTGTGATGTGTTTTTTTTTGTGTCTGTTACCACTTTTTCTCAGCTCTCACCGAAATGACAACTTCTTCACAAAAAATTAACCTTTTCAACTTAACTTTTGAAAGTGTTCCGGAAAGTCTGACACTTTTATATATATAACCTTAATTAAAACTAATTTAATATTAATTTATTATGGAAAAAAAAAATTTTGGACTTTATTTTGTCTTCACGGTAAAAATGGCTACCAAATGCTATTTTTTTGTGAAAATTTTCGATTTTATTTTTTACAATTTTAACTTTATAATGCTATAACTTATTAAAAAGTGTCAAATTGAAAAGGATCAACACAATTTCTTTATGAGAAATAATATTTATATCCCTTTTTCATTCGACATACTTTATCTTAATAAGATAAAGGATATTAATAAGGAAATAGCAGATCATGTAGCTTTTGGAATAATCCACCGATGTGTTAAGAGTAAACACTATCTAAAGATTAGCATCGAAGCGTTTTTTATTGATAGTGATTTTAATCACTGTCAGATATCATTAAGAAAGTATTCAACACAATTTTTTTATGAGAAATAATATTTTTTAACAATCCCTTTTTCATTCGACATACTTTATCTTAATCAGGATATTAGTAAGGAACTAGCAGATCATGTAACTTTTGGAATAATCCACCAATTTTTTAAAATTAAACACTATCTAAAGATTTGCATCGAAGCGTTTTTTTTTTTGGTGGTAATTTTAATCACTGTCAAATATCATTATACTTGATCCAACTATGCTGTGTCACTACTGTGCCGCGACCAACCTGTGCTATGTTTTTTTTTTATCTTATATTGTAAGTTTTAAACAGTAATAAAAACAATTGTATTTATTATTTTTTTTCTATATACTAAAAAAAAGTACATAATATTATTTTTTTGCAGTTTTTTAACAGGATATACAAAAAAATGATCGACATTTACTCGATAAAATAGAAAATAAATTTATATTTTTACAAGTAATTTAAAACGCGGTTCATTATATAGATATTTTTGAATTTTGTTACATTAAATAATTTCTTGGTGTATTTACTATATTTTTGTTCTTAAAAATTCACTAGACAACAAGGAATTTTCATCAGAGACGAAAAAATACATTTCAAAACTACTTTTTTGCTTTGAATTAAAATCCGCAATTAAACTTTTTTCATACCTTAAGTATTTGAGAGAATAAATAATTCGTAAAAAACAATTATGGTTTTATCTATTGTTTTTATAAAGATCGAAGTACAAATCAGATAACTTTTGGATGTTGTAAATATATATAGTTTATTAGACACACAATATGTATCCCAACTCGTATATAATACACAGAAGAATTATAATTTGTATATAATTATCCGTATTGAAATTGTTTTATATGAAAATATATAATTGGCAAAAAATGAGGGTCTCGAAATCACCAGTGTGCAGGAAGTGTGGAGTAGAAGAGGAAGATTTATTTCTTATACTGTGTAATTGTGAGCCTTATCCGCACTAAGATCAAACTACTTGATTAAATTTTTTTCTGAAAAAGAAGATATCAAAAACCTAAGACCCAGAAAGATACTTAACTTCGCCAGAAAGACAGAACTCTTTGGATACCACAGGTGGGACTTCATATTCCATCTTTTATACAATGATAGGTACATTATAATAATACTTAGGTATGTTAACCAAATCAAGATAATTCGGTATGAAGTGTGCATAGTGGATCAACAGGTCTGAGTGCATGGGCGTTATGTACACCTCATTAATAACTAAAACTAAAACTAATTGGCAATAAAATAGCCAATACAATTTTTACATTTAAATCAATCTTTTTATCACCTATTTACTTAAGATTATTTTAATTAAGTAAAAATAAAACAATTGTTATTTAAATAAAAGGTTTGTCAAATAATTTGTTGATATTTACGTTTATTAAGTGAAAATAAATAAAAATGAACTCTTTGTTTTGCAATAACTTTATTTAATATACAATGTATAATGTTTCAATAGTGGTACGTTATAAATGCATATAAACTAAAAAAGAACATATTTGATGTTATATTTCTGTATAACTCTTTGATTAAAAGGTTTTTTTTGTTTTTGTCTTTATGGTAGTAATAAATGACTTAAATAAATTAACTAAAATAAAATACTCCGAGTCTTTCGTATATACAAAAAGGTTGCTTTTAAAATTTTCAAACTATGGAAGAATATGTGTATAGCTTAAAGTATACGATTCTGTGCATTTTTTTATTATATAGTATTTTATATAGGAACATACACGGCTGTGAATTTTAAAAATGTATAAGCTAGTTAATTATTTTTAAAAGTTACAATAATTAACTTGTTAAAAATAATTTTTTTGTTATTTACTTAATTAAATTATCACATGTTTATCATTGGGAGATAGTTAAGGATAAAACTATGTAAATACATAACATTAAATTTTTACCAGAGGTTTAGTTATTGGGAATGTGGAGAGAATTACTTCTTTAGAGAAAAAACTTCTATGCTTCTATATGTATCTATACTGTAATTGTATTATCTTTCTAATAATTGACTCAAACAAATTTTACAAATACATGGAGACTTAAGTCCTTAAAAGAATTTTAGTTATTTTTTTTGCATTTATTATTTAGGAGAATGTTTATTAGGTAAGCTCTGTTCTAATGATATGTAAAAAAAAATAAATGGAGTTACAAAGTACGTGAAAATTAATATATAAATAAAAATATAATAATATTAAATATTAATATAATAAATTACTTTTACATAGATTATTTAATGAGAAACTAAATATATCTTTTTCCTTCGAATATTTGTTTATTCAAATTATATTAAGAATAAGTTTTTAATTGAAATTAAAATTGTTTGTTTATTTAATTTGTATGATTTTGAATTGAAATAAGATTATACATTTTTTCTATGACAATTTAAAAGGAATTATTTGTAAGATTTGTTGACATTTGTTATGTTATATATATATATTATGGTGGCTCTCATAAAATATCGGTGAGCTAAAAGAATAAAAAAAAAAGAATCTGCCGTAGGACTTTTACACTTGATATTTTATCTAGATTTAAAAAACAACTCAAGATGAAATTAGGAAGTTTGAATGTGATTAATATTTCCAAAAATTAAGTAAATAAAAAACCTGTTACGGTATATTTTATTTAATGTTCTCATAACTTTTTAAAATTGTAATATTGTAATAAGCAACTTTTAGATTTGTTTTATAGTGTGCTTAAGTTTAGATTAAAATATCTTTTTAAGTTACTATTTTTTAAAATTAGTTATTATAGATACTAATGTAAAGAAACGTTTAAATATTTTATAAATTTTCAAAAAAACTTAACCATGTTTCTTACAAATTATAAAAATATACATATTATTTTTATCATTTAATTATGAGCAATGTCAACTAAATACTAAAACATTATAAAGTTAAAAAAAAATGATTATTACTTATTTTCAACAAACTAATATTTTCAATTGCTAGTTCTCGCGTCTCATTACATTTAATTTGGGTGTCCCTAACGGATTTCCTAATCTAATAAAATAGTAATGTTGAGTATGAACCAGATATTACAATTTGATTAACTGCCCGAAAGAATTAAAATCTTAATAATTTATAGTAATGTACATTTTGAAATTTAATGTCAATATCTAAAATTCTTATTTTAATATAGTCAAAGAACATCGAAATAATTAGTTTATAATAATAGTAACTTTGTTGTTTCCAATAAAGTATAACATTTGAAACTATAAATTGAGTTGTTGAAGAATTTTATTTTAGAAGGTTCAAGAGGTATAATGAAACGATGTAAGGTATAGAATTACAGAACAGAATTAATTACATGGTATTTGGTTACTTTTTTTGATTGGGTGAATAGTATAAAATTTCCTGTAG